GAGGTGCTCTATGCGGACGAAGTACTGTCAATCGTACCTGCTGGTCACCAAGGAAATAGCCGCCATCCTCCCCTGCTCGTTCTACCTCATCAAACTGCCCCCCAACGACCAATTTCCCATCCGCCATTTGCTCGGACACCTGCGCGCAACCATTGGTTTCTCTAGACCCAAGATACACCTGCCACCCCTGCGCTTGCAAGGCGACCTTTGTCACACCGTTTCGCGCCGTACTAAACGAACTACCCTTTCGCGAGCATCCCGTCCTTTTCTCTCTCCCTCTCTCATTGCACGTCTGCCCTTCGCAAACCACTTGGGTCACTGGAATCTCCGTTTCGGATAGACCATTCATTTGGCTTTCACATTAGCGTCTGAACACAAAGCCTATTCACGAATGCCATCAATTACAACTAGCTAAGAAGAGGTCGAATTACCGTACTGCTTTGTATCTAGCTACGATCCGATCCTCGATACCCTGTCGAAACCGCCATCACGTTGCCAGGCTCGCAACACGTCAGGAACGGGCAGCCCGTGTCCGCCCGGCGTACAGTCACCACTCTTCAAGGAGAAGACTCCCCTCAGCTACCAGCAAAGACCGAGCAAGAAAGTGCAGGCGAGTCCAGTCTCAGCGCCCAGTCACCCCCTCCTCAGTATCCCTCCGAAGCATCAACTTCCCGGCCGCCACCCTTCTCTTCAGTCTGCGATTCACTCGAGAACCCCTCCGAACCCGCTCACGATCTCCGCTCCGCCATCACAGTCGCTGTCGCTGGAATATCCCCTGCTGCGCCGTCGTATGCATCGCTAGCTCCAGATTTCTCTACAGAACAATCGGTTTCGACTTCTTTTGAACACGCTCTCGCAGAAACAAAGCGTGCGCTTCCCCGCGACACCAAAGGGAGCTCTTCCGCAAAGGACGACAACGCCGAACCACCCCCAGCATACTCGGAGGGACCTAGTCCACTCCAATCTTTCGCTTTTCTGATGGCTACCGCCGGAGGCGCGTCGAGTATTATTACTCAGGTGCAACAAGGGGGCCCGCCTATCAATGCAATTGGAGGTGAGTTTCTACTTGGCCTGGACGACTCGGTTAAAGACTAATATGATGACAGATGTTGGCGCCGACGAGACGATCGCGATGGACCTCCGGTAGGGTTTACTTCTACGCAACGTCCGACTCTGAAGGCTAACGGTTGCTATCTGCAGGGGCACCCGATTTGTTCTGTCGAGGGACGAACTCTTGACACTGCCCGAATTTGTCCTCCTGTCGTTGTTCCCCAACGGCCTCTTCCCCGAGGGGCACATGGGAGGGTTTACTGAGGGCGATGCAGTACAAGTAGACGTAAGTACAGATTCTCCCGCGTACAATAGCCTACATGGCGCATATCGATTGTTGACAACATCCCGGCAGTATGACCCGGCATCCCTGCAGTATATGCTGGACTTTTTCCGCACCGTTGCACAGTCGATACCTGCTGAGTCCTCTCCGAGCATTTCTCAGGAGGAGGATCCCGCGACTGGAGACCCAATGGGTTCACGAGACGACTCGTCGAAGAGAGCGGGCATCATCGTTCTGAGGGAGGATCTCGACTTCTACGTCATACCGCCGCGGGCCGATATTACGCAGCCTGAAATGATGGAAGTTAAGAGAGCTGCTGGAAGAGCCCTTCTTCAACAGACGGGCATTTTTTCAGGCCTCAAGCGCAGTGATGAGCCGGGTACTACGGAAGCCCACCTTATCGAAATGCTTACAGCAGGGCAAGTTTTCCCTGGTATGGTAATGGCTGGCCTCGAGCATGGAGCTAATTGTTCACTAGCGGGTTCAACCATCACGACAACTGGGGTCACAGGGCAGGAGAACCAAACAAGGCGGTTGTCTGCAGCCTAGCGTTGGCACGCCTGCGAAGCGACATCAGAGGCAACGATATGGGCAGTAATGCTGTTGGCATGGCGCAGAAGCTGCTCCTCTTTTGGAGGAAGCCTGCGAGACGCTGCTGGTGGGAAGGCGTGGAGCTCGACAATGTTGAGGGCGTTGAGGGAAAGCTGAAGGTCTGGATCAGGCGCGTTTGGACCCTGGAAATGAGCGTGATCGGCCTCCGATGAGGTCGATAAGCTTGGCTACTTTCTTGGGCGGCGAGAGGTCGGGAACGGGCGTAATGGTGTAGCGCAGCCTGGCTTTGCGGGTTGAAATATTGGTTTCCTTGCGTCTACTTCTTCGAACACATACGCGAAACGGTTAGTGGGCTTTGTCGGCCATGCATAGGCAACGTTCGTTATCGATGGCGAAGACCTCTATCTGAGGCTTATATTGAGCGTGTTCATAGGTGCATCAGACCAAGGCGAAAGAACTAATCGTGGGTCATTTCTCATATAATCAAACACGAGCGTCTTCCCGGAAAGACGTTTTTCGAGCAGCAAATCTATGCCTTGTGCTTATCATATAAGCGGAAAGGAACGACGGCCAGCAGTTCCAGTAGGCTTGGGTAGGTATCCAGAGACACCCAGCGTAAAGTCCGAGGAGCACGTCTTCGAATGCTGGAACGGGCCCAAGTACTCCCAGTAGTGCTTTTCACAACGTGATCAGTATGTTGAAGCCTGCTTCTTGGATACTTGGGCTCATGGTTGACATTTGTGATAATCCCAGTGATGATGGTCTCGACCTTTCAATAACGGCGCAGTAGTGGCGAATTTTAGGCTCTATGACTTCAGGTATAGACCATGTTGACTTGGCTAGGAGCGGCACACTGCCAGCTGTGCTCTCGAACCGTCAGCCTAGGCTTTGTCCACTTATACTCACATAATCATGTAGTATACCAGAAGTTGGCTTTTGTCTCCATGTCTTGGAGGATGGTGACAAAATGACTTACGCCTCAAGTGGTATCTATTATATGCATCATCTTAAAACAGAAGCAACCTCACACACAGAGACATCGCATCCTTTCCCCAATCATTCTCTTGGGGGCGGGGGGGTCAGCGTCAGGCACACTACTGCAGCTCTACATCCTAGCCAAGCTCCCCCGGCACAAACAAGTGTAGCATCATTTCTTGGCTGAGCCGTCGGTCCAAGCTAAGTTTCACAGCAACGCAAGGTGATCTTCCGTCATAGAATGGTGACACCAGCCGCTTCCAGCTATAACAACGACTTCAGGTCCAGTCCAGTTAGTTGCGTTTTATACTCTCGTGCTTCTCCATCCCCGCATTTGCATGCCGACTACCAACAACATGATTCTCTTGTTTTCTCTGCACGTTCTTGCGGCAACTCAATTCCCTGCGGTCTTAGCCCAGGACTGCCGGAATACTTTGAAGGCGACTTACACTTCGCCTATTGCCGCCGGTGGCTGGACATACCGTCTAATCGCGAACGGATTCACTCGGCCTAGAAGTATCCTTTTTGACGATCAAGGAGCTCTTCTGGTTGTCGATGCCAACTCTGGGGTGAAACATCTTAAGCTGACTGACGATGGCGGCACTTGCTTGTCTGTGGCTGAGAAACAGACTATCATCGATTCTCCAGAAGTAAGACATGCCTCTTCAAAGATCGTTTAGGTGTAGGAGCTAGCTTACTTATCGTAATGTGTCCGGCGACCCAAAGTTGAACCACGGAATAGCCCTGTCTCCGGATGGGAAGACTCTGTACGCCTCGACTGCCGACAAGGTATATTCCTGGCCATATGATAGCATTGCCGCCACTGTTGGCGATAGGAACAGGACCCTCATAGCGAACATGAGCAATACTGACCATACCACCCGAACGTTACTTCTATCCAGCAAAATGCCAGGCATGCTCTTGGTGTCGAGAGGCAGCGCGTCCAACATTGACGACGGTGCGATCAGCCAATCCACTGGGCATGCCCAGCTTCGCGCTTTTGACATTGGGGGCCTCGACAAGAACTCAGGGCCATTCAACTTCCCGATTCAGGGAACCATTCTAGGATGGGGACTGCGGAACTCTGTCGGCGTGGCAGAAGAGCCCGTCACAGGCGGTATATGGACTGTAGAGAACTCGGCAGACCAGTTAAGGAGGAACAACGTCGATATTCACACTGATAATCCTGCCGAGGAACTCAACTTTCATGGCCGTCTCATTGATTCTACCAAGGACCAGGGCGGTAACTACGGGTATCCAAATTGCTTTGCCGTCTGGTCGACCGAGGGATTTCCCAACAGAGGCAACATGACCACAGGAGATCAGTTCACTCTCAACCCATCACCTACCTTGAACGATACAACCTGCAACTCCGCTTATGTACCCCCAAGACTATCTTTCCAGGCACACACTGCTCCATTGGATATCAAATTCACGCCCGATGGCTCAGAAGCTTTTGTAACATTCCATGGCAGTTGTAAGTAGTGCCGTAGCTCTGTTGTCCAGATTTAATCGCATGTCTGACACCGGTCTAGGGAACCGAGACGAGGCTATTGGGTATAAGCTATCTAGTGTACGATTTTCGAACGGAGAGCCCATAGAGCCGGCTGACAGCCGGACACCAATCACTGATGTTTTGAGCAACGCAGACACCAGTAGTTGCCCAGACAACTGCTTTCGCCCGGTAGGGCTTGCCTGGGACAGTCAGCAGAGACTTTTCATGACATCGGATTCGACGGGGGAAATTTATGTCCTCCAGAGGACTGACGTCTCGGTCTCGACGAGTACCTCAGCGGCCCCTGTTCCAACGTCGTCATCAGACGCTGCTACGACTTTAGTCCCCTCTCGGCTCACATTTCTTGGCAGCCTTGCGATCTCGTTTTTTGCTTTCCTGGGAGGTGCGGGCGTGGTCGGGACTATGCTTCGCTGAGAATCAGCCTCAGCCACTTTTAGTATGAAAGTGACCGACTGTGACTGACTCCAAAGAGCAAACAAATGGTTGGTTAAGCCGAGAAAAACGTTCACGCCAGTAGATATCTGCGTTGTGTTAGCGGTGCTGGCCTGGCAGCTCTGGTTCATGTCATCCGTAACGCTTGCATCAACTCCATAACGACATCAAATTCACGGGTTCAAATGCGCGATAACCCATCTATGCCCTATTTTGCCGCGAACGCCTTGCCTATGACGCTACATGGATGTCTGTATCACTCCTCGATACTCTTGACGCACTCCCATTCGCCTCTGAGGTTCTCCTTCCATAACGAAACCTTGTTGTCGCCTCCGCTGACAGCGAGTACATTGCCGCTCAAAGACCAGCTGACTCTCCACACAGCTGCATCAAAGTTGAGAACCTTGCAATTCCATTGTCCAGCGCTCGACGAATCCGAGGTCCAAATCCGGACCGTCTTGTCTTGGGAAGCTGACGCAATGTATGACTTCTGCAGTACCGTCGGCGACCACGCGACATCACGAACCCAGTCTGTGTGGCCAGCAAGGGGCTCCTGTTCCTGCTTGTACGACTGCGCTGCCGAGTCGAAAACCCAGACTTTGAGCAAGTTATCACAGCCGCCTGTGACAAATCGCCTTACACCTGCCGAACCAGGACCAGGAGAACTGCTGACGATGCTTCCAGGTGCCGTGGCCGGGGCCCAGGAGACAGAGTTCACGCCAAGTCCATGGGCTGGGAATGTTACATGGTCGAAGCTGTTGTCGCGAAACTCGAGTATGCTCACGTTGCCGTCCGACGAAGCACACGCCAGGAGGCACCCAGACTCGTGTGGTGACCAAGAGACGATATTGACGGAAGCTTTGTGCAGAGCGAAATCGAAAATCTTCTGCCACTGATTGTTCTGTTCCCTCCAGATGAACACCTTGCCGTCGTAGCCTGCTGAGGCCAGAATGTTTCCATACTTGGGGTGCGCCCAGGAAACGCACCAAACTGCACCATCATGTCTGCGACAAAGTCAGCAGGAGTAGTAAGCCTGTGTTTCTGAGGGTCTGGAATGTGTGATCCTCACCCTTTCAGGGTTTCAACAAGCCGTTGAGAGTCCCCGTCGATTTCGAATATCTTGATGGTCCGGTCGCTTGAGCATGTCGCAAGGCGACGTCCGTAGTAATCGAGGACGGCATCGTGCTGTGAAGGGGAGGCGGAATGTCAGCCTAACCGAATGTGCTAGAGAAGGAGGCGCCCGCCTATCGCATATCATGGCACAGGCATCGATGATGTATATCTTCCCGTGTCGATGAAGATCGTGCGATCGGGTATGTCAAGCAAGTTTCGCAAAGGCACTTACAATCATGTCATCGTGACCAGAATTCGATATGACTTGTGCAGACGCCTAAGTAAAAGAGCCATGTTAGCGAGGGGATTGCCAAGTGCAGAGTGGGAAGCCGTACCATTGCAGAGAATGAAAGCTGGTGTTGTAAATCGAGGACTGCGCTCAATCAGAACATCAGATGGGTTGATGCGGGAGGGAATCAAGACCTGGGTATATGTTGAATGGCAAACTGCAAAGTGTCACTGTAAGTGCCACCTAAGTGAATCGAAGCTCCCAGCTGGCCTTAGCCCAAGCTTGAGTACCAATTTGGCTGACGGGACAGAGCCGTATTGCAGGAGCACCAGGGAGGGATTCTATATTGGGAAGGCGGTGGGACTTGCTTCCCGTGACCTGGGCCTCGTGACCTCCCTCAAGATCGACACCTGGGACCTCCTGTTTATCACACGTGAGACCCTCCCTCCCCCTCCCCCCGCTCCGGCCTAGAGTCCCGATAACGGGTGGGTGCCGTGCTGACGCAAAGGTACGTACAAGCCGGTGCCGAGGTAAACCGTTGTCCGAGTCAATGAAAGCCTCACACGGCCTACCTTCTATAGATACCTTCCATACGCTGTTCGGGTACTTCCTCTCCATATACTTACTCGAATGTTATGTGGCGCTAAGCTATGAAGTCTATCATTCTACAATCAATCTGGTCTCTTAACGCACCACAAGTCCCTACTCGCTCTCAATCCTCGATCAACATCGCCCATTACCTTAGGACCGCGATCAGTCTCAAACACCAAAACCCATACTCTTCGGACACTGCTAGCAATTTCATTGCGAACTCGAATAACATAGTATATCTCAAGGGCCGGACCTATCGATTGTTTCCCGTACAAAGCCTTCGCCCGCCTCCTCATCATGGCCGACGCTTCCTGCAGCGGCTCTACGCCGTTCAAGGGCCTCGTCGACCATGGCGCTCAAGATCGAAGCCTGCACCGAGATCGGTTTTCCAGTGCTCCTAATCCCCAGCAAGTAAGGAACAGAGTATTGCCCCCGTGTTCTCACGTAGTTCCTCTAACAGTGACAGGGATTTCGATCTACAACTCAAGCCTTTTCGGCGCCGGCTCAAGCAGGCTTTGGCGAATTCCTTGACTCCAACGGAACTGGACAAGTCAGCCTCAACACTCCCCAAACCCACAGCTCGCCCATATCAAGCTTCCCTCAAGGACTACAATCATTCCACACATCAGCGGCTCCTGACAGTCGGATGTTTTCTCCCAGCCCCTTCCAATCTGCGTCTCTGATTCCGACAGCTTCCCGGCAAGATGGGTCTATTACATCGTCACCGAGAGCATCGAGCTGGGCGCAAGATTTTGCAACTTTCTCTAGGGCGCCGCCAGGTTCTGGAAGTCACATGACAGGTTTTCCTTCTTCGCAATATCGAGCGCCTCCAGCCGGACTGACGCAGAATATGATGGGGTCGCATTCAAGACCTTGGTTGTTCGGGCCTCAAGGCGGTTCTGCAGCCGGTATAAATCACGGAGTTACAAGCACCGAAGCTGATTTTGATCTTGAGATGAATCGGTGGATGGCGGCCAATGGTGACGGGCAGATGGAGGATCTGGACACCGTCATGGAACAGCTTGCGCGGGAACTGGAGCAAGATCAACAAACGGAAGACGCCACACAATCATCCAGGGGTACCATCGGCGGCTTTGTGGATACTGCCACAACCTCTACATCAGATGCTTCCGTGCAAGGTGAAGCCCAAAGGATACAAGCATTCGCTGTCACGGCTTCAACAACACAACAAGCATCCGGCGCACCCTCGGTACTTGAGACTGATGCCGTCAATGTACCAACAAAAGCAAGTTTTTCGGACCACATGCCCGACTTGGAACGCCTAGGCCTCAACGAAGCAGATCAACCACCTGCAGAACACGGCCAGTCAACTTCGGATATTTCGGAGGCAGCGAGGCAGATCCTCGACTCGGTTCAACATGAACAAGGAGACAAATGGAAAAATTCTCGGTTCTTGTCACTCATGAAGGACTTCAGGGATGGGCATAAAGACATCATCAACAACGAAATTCTCGAAACTAGTGTTGGTGGCGAGCGAATGGGTGGGGACTGACTTGGGACCTTGGGTGCTCTTAGGCACCACCTAGTCACCTCAGTCGCATTGTCCAAGTGCCACCACCGCAAAGCTCTGACACAAGACCTGCTTCATTGTGAAAAGGGGGTTACCGCGCAAAGACGACGTTCGACGCTGCTGTATTTATATATAATAATAAGGATTGCTAGGCAGGCATTCATCATAGAGCCGAAACGGTCGGTAAACATTGTTGACACAGCAACAGACCAAGTGATGTTCCAGCGATCGCCATGTGTGTAACACGACAAAGCGTTGTCGAAAGACTTGCAACACAGGCGAGGCCTTGAAAAGGCTGACTCAGAGAGGGAGAGCTGAAGGCCGGTTTGGGACGACGGCTATTACCGACACGGCGAGGCCGGTAGTATCAATGTGTGCTACATATACATCATGTCAGATTTGACAGCGTAGGTGTACTGATGTGGTAGGGTGGGCATCGTAAATGCAGGAAGAACAATTTAGGATTAATAACCAGCACAAGCCTTTCAGTCACATTATTGATTATGACCGGATCACCATATTAATATAGTGCATAGTCACTTGAACGTTGTTTGACTGAAAATCCACAAATTTTCAAGTGTAAATTGATTTAACTACAGCCGAGAATGACACGCAGGATTAATGAAAGCAGTTGATGATTAGGAGAAGGGATGTTACTAAAGGAAATGCACGATGTGTACCCTAATCCCTCCAGTTCATCAGTGTTTGCGCCTTGGCGGTTTTGAGGGAACAGTTCAAGATCGACCCAGAGCAATGCTCTTCCAGTGGTCACGCTCTTCTTCAAGCTTACGAATCTTCTCCTCCAAATCTTCAAACCGTTGGGCCTTGCGCTCACGAGACTTGCGTGCAGCCAAAGTATTGCGAGCACGCTTCATGGCGGTGGTGTCATTCGGATCCTCAACAATGATAGGAGGCAGTGGCTTGTCTCGTCGACGGGAGTTCACACCCGACACCGACGAGTGACGAGCGGACCCAGTTGGGGAAGAGTTGACAGACTTCCGGCGACCCGTAGTAGAAGTAAATTCGACCACCTCCAGGTCATCAGCATTGAGCGCAGGAGACTGATCAGTCTGCAGCTTCTGGGTTCCCTCGACGCCGGCAGCGTCTTTCGTGACGGAGGTGGACTCCTGGGGAAAGAGGGGGAACCAAGGATCACCAGCGGTGTGGTCAAAGTCTGCTGATCCAAAATCGCCCGAGTCAAAGCTGGGAGAGACATCATAGCCATCGTTGAAGTCTGGCGACTCATTGTAGATCGACGGCGATGTAAGGGCAGTCAAAGCTGTTGAGTTCGGAGCAGACATGAAGGGCTCCTGGATGAGCAGGTCCTGTGGAGAAACGGTGCCTAGATTGGTAGGACCGACGTCGAAGACCGAGGGCATTGCAGGCGACGAGTATGTGGTGGAAGCACCACCCTCGAAGCCGGTGAAATCCTCCAAGTCAAGGTCTGTGAAGTCGCATGAGGAGAGTCCAGAAAGAGGACACGGTGGGAAGGGCTTACCTTGGATATCCATCTTGTTGGTTGTACCCTGAAGACTTTGAGCGAACAGTGGCACAGGAGGACGCTGGCGGCGATTCAGAGCAGCTGAAGATGACGGAGCAGACGAAGCGTAGAATTGGGCTGATTGAGCAGGGGAGTACACTGAAGATGACCGAGAGTGGGATCCGGAAGCTTGGATCTGGGCTAGACGATGCTTCTGTTGAAAATGAACGCGGCTTTGAGGGTTCTGTCGAAGTTGGTGTGACGAGTGACGACGTTGATTCAGACCGAGGGCGGTATGAGCGGCCAAGTGTCTAGGTTGACTGGTGCGAGGCTGATCGAACAAGACGAAGTCCTGCTGGGGAGACTGTTCCGTTGGACTGAACTGAGGCTGTTGCGCGGGATGTGCCGGCAGGCTGGGTGAACTGGAGGGAAGCCATGGTGATTGGGAATCCGTGGTGAAGACTGAAAAGTCTCGGGGTAGAATGTTTGCGGAGGCGGAACTAAAGCTAGAGCTGGAAGCCGTAGTGAAGTTCAGATCGACCTGTAAAGGTTGAGCTGAAGTATGGAGCGGAGAAAAGTTGTATTGAGTTGTGGACTGAATGTTGTTGAGCTTAGAAGCGGGATCAAACTGAAGATGATGATTTAACACATTTTGGCGAGCCTCTTTGGGTGTGTAGTTCTGGGTCGTAGTTTGGAAAATTGTGGTGGTGAGGAAGGAAAAAAAAGTCAAGGGGTTGAGAGGGCGCGAAGGGACTAGCGACCTTTTGTAGCCTGAAAGGCAGCAATAGGCCAAAAAAATGAAATGGGTGGTAATTAGTTGTGGGACGGCACTCCCGAACATGCAAACAGGGCGAAGGGCGCAGTTGGCGAAGCCCTGTTGTTGGAAAGATACTGCGGGACTATGTATCCTGCCGCAACGCAAAAGGCAGAAATTGGTGTACAGAGCACGGATACGCTGCACAACTACCGCAGCCAGATGTAGCCCAAGGCAACCAACTGCGCCCACAGGAAGGAAGGCTGTTACCCCTGCACGGAATCAGAGTGTGAGTCACACTTTCTGATGCTAGGCCTGATTTGGCTTGGCCGAGCGCACGGGACGTTTGCTCTCATTGGTTTGTGACGGTGGCAGGCAGAACACAGTGTGGGTAGGAGACCTTGCTGGCCATGTGCATTGTGTAACAGCAGCCAACAGTCAACTCCGACCTGAATAGGTATCATCATGAAGGTCATCTAGTTGCTTACATACATTCATCCCCTGCGCGGCCTCACCTCCCGTGTCATGCTGACATGCCGAATCTCTTTGATCTAGTACAGATAGGCGTCAACTCTCTGCCTATTGATGTATGTTCCTCCCTCACATGACCCCACGGACCAAGACTACCGAGGCGTCCCTCTACTTTCAAAGCCGGTGCTTGTGTTCGTGAGGAATAATGAGTTTCAAAAGTGCCTGGGGTGTTGAACGCATGGAATGTTGGATAGAAAACTGGGGTATGTACAGTTCTATCCAGGTCAGTATGGATGGCTTGAAATGAAATTACGGCTATTCATTCGAGTCTGAGAATGTACCTTGCTAAGCCATATGTGGTTGTCGCCATTCGGGCATTCCAATAAAGTATTCACGTTGTTTCTCGAGCCTCCTTGGCACAGTGCCATTGTGAAAGAAGCTTGGTCGCGACGCCCAAATACGAATCTATATCTACAACCCGGCTATTTGAACTGATGAGTATCATGGTTTGGCTGTTTTAAGTGGGTGCCACTGCCAATAGATCTCCCATAGCTGCCGAAGGCACTTATATAATCAACAGTTTTTACGGTCGCATTCTGTCAGATGGCCAGCCACACGACGCTGGCCCGGGCACCTCCTGGCACTCAAGGGCCACCTTAGTCCGTAATGCATTCAAACCGCACTCCGGGATCACTACTAAAAGGTCACCCCATACGACAGATCACTCCCCACAACGGATTACCTAATTAAGCTACTTTTTTAAACTTTTAATTTTTAATCTTAAAGTAGCAAATTTGTTATTTAATAATATAATTTTATATTTAAAATTTGAATGCAAATTGATAAAAATAGCTTTTAATATATTTAATATTTTATAATCTATTATTATAAGTCCATTATTATTATAATTTAATTTTTATAATAATCTCAACTTTTATAAAGTATTTATTTAAATGTTATTTTATTTTAATTTTTAAAATTAATTTATATAGTATTATTTAAACTTTAGATACTTATTAGTACTTTAATATAAAGGTACTTAATATATGGGCACTTAACTAGACCTAGCTTAGCTATAAGGCTATAATTAAGGTTTAATATAGCTTAGTTATAGGCTATAACTTAGGCTTAGCAAGTTTTTAATAAAGTTTAGCTTAAAGAAAAACTGATTTTTATAATAGGCTTATAAAAATATTAAGTTTAAATTTGTTTAATATATT